GCTGCAATTTCTTGTCCTCAAACCCTACATCTCTTTCCAGGGTCCTCCTAAAGGCCATTGCACTGTAGGGTGCACAAGCCTAGGACAGAGGGTCAGGGGAGAGCTGTTTAAGAGGCAGTCAGAACCACCTAGCAAAAGCCCAAATATTTTTTTTCTTCTAAGATCTTATCTTATTTGTTTATTTGAGAGAAAGAGTGAGTGCACAGGTGCAAGAGCGAGCAAGAGAGAGCATGATCTGGGGGAGAGGCAGAGGGAGAAGCAGGCTCCCTGTTGAGCAGGGAGCCCGATGCGAGACTCGATCCCAGAACTCCAAGATCATGACCTGAGCCAAAGCAGACGCTTCACCTACTGAGCCGCCCAGGTGCTCCCAAAACCCAAATCTGATCGTGTCACTTCCCTACTAAAACCAGGTACCTTTAGGATGAAGTCAAACCCCGGGCTGGGCTTCTGAGACCCTTGGTCACCTGGCTTCTGCTGGTTTTTCAGCCTCATCTCTTACCCTCACCCTTCCCCGTGCTCCACTCCAGCCTTAATGAAACCAGAGGTGGTTTTCCCCTGGATGGGGTTCTATAAGTTCCTGCCTGTGCCAGGAGGCCATGCCTTCCCCACCAGGAGCACCCCCCCTCCCCCAGACCCCAGCTGACAGGTGGTACCAATGGGACCAGCTGCGTGAGTGAGGGAGGCTTCTGGAGGCTTTACTCCCAGCCCCAGACCTCAACTGCCCTGAGAGACTGCAGGGGAGCAAGAACCGCCCAGCTGAGCCCATTCGTCGCCCCCCCCCCCGGGGAGCTGGTAACACAATACTTATTGCAAGGTCTTATTGTTGTCTTCAGTGGCTAAGTTTCGAGGTTAGCCGTAGGTAATGGGAGTCACACATGATGCTGCACGTTAGATGCGTGATTGCCCCCACCCCAGGCCATTATCACGGGGCTCTGTGATGGGTGGGCGTGGGGTGCCACGGGGACGCATCACATGGTGGAGCCGGGGCCCCAGAGACAAGGTGGACGCAGCGTTCATTAGCTGGACAGGTATAATGAGGCACGTTTACCTGAGAGGAACCATCTGTGAAACAATAAATCTGCTGGTTTCTATTCTTCTCCCTTTGCAAACTGAGCCCAGCACCAGTCAGAAGACCGCAGCATCTCAATATTGAAATGCCTTGCCTCCCGGAGCTGCTGAGACACACTGGCAAAGGTAGCCCCGTGACATGATTTTCTCCCTGGAGCCCCAAGTTCTAGAGAGAAATCCAAATGTCCCGGGTACTCGTCATGGTCAAGGGCAGCACAGGGCTCTCCGGTGATGGCGCTGGCACCAGCACCAGCACCTGATGATTCCCTGGGACAACCCTCCAAGATGGTCACTATTAGCCCCATGCTGTGGACCTGGGCACCCCTGAGGGGTGGACCCAGATTTGTGGGTGCTAAAACTTTTTAGTTCGGGAGGGTCCTGGAAGGGAGAGAATGCATATGGCAAGGTGAGGGCCTTGGGCAGGTCGGTGGAGGGCAGAGGCTCCACGGTTGGCTTGTTTAGCTTCCGGGTAAAGGCACTTTTGAGCCTGTGAATGACAACCTGCATTCTGAGCCTGAGACCACCAGAGGCAAAGTCCAAGGTCTTCCTGCGACGCAAAGGTCTTCCTGTATGATGGGCAACAGTGTTGGGTCCAAACGGTGGAAGCATCACTTTCCGAGGAGGCGGGTGTGTGGGATGGGCGCTGCAGGGGGGCCCGGCTGCTGTGGGCCCTGCAGCATCTCTGGGGAACCTGCCCTGTGGTGAGAACCCACAGGTGGTCTGCGGCCACTCGGGGACGGCTCCATCCTCCTGCCTTCTTGTCTCTCCCAGGCTGACCCTCCTCTGCTTTCACAGGTGGGCAAAGTGTATGGTCCAGCCCGTAGTTCCCTCCCGCCACCTCTAAGAGCATTTAAAGGAGGAAGGCAGGGAGAATGAGGTTCTGCTCGTGACAAGTAGCCTTCTCCTCCATCTGAAAGGTAGGAGCGGGTTCCATCTGGCCAGGCCGAGGCTGTCGGGTCCCTGCGGGGCACCGAGGCGCCCGGAAGCCTGTCTCCCTCCTATGCCCTCTGCGCCCCTCGCCTGTGACTCATGCCTCAAATGCTTCCATTGAAGCAATTCTTCCTTTTATTGTTGGACATTGGTCTCCTCTCGCTCCTCCTCTGGGCCCTCACGCAGGGGAAAATTCAGGGAAACATAACCTGTTTCCACACGGTACTGAGGGACAAGGCTGTGATTGTTATTTTGGTCGACCAGGTCCCAAGCGAGGGGTTTGTAAACAGAATCTCTTGGGTGGGGGTCATGGGGGGGGACTTGTTCAAACACAAATTCCTGAGTCCACTTGAGAGCTTTTATTCCTCACCTGTCCCCCTGGCCCCCCGCCGATGCCAATGGGCACCCGAGGTTGACGAGCCCTGGTCCCAGTCATTGCTAAGAACATTGAAAACCAGGCGTGGGTTCTTTTGGAGACACACCAAAATCAGTGTCTCTGGGAGGAGGTGCAAAACCACCAGCAGTTCTAGAAGGAAAATGCATGAAGTGTAAGGAGAAAAGAGCTTGGCCCTAACCATGGGCAGCCCCAGACTTAGGGCCTCTTGGAAATAAGTAACTCTGGCTTTTTATTTATTTTTATCTTTTAAAAAAATTTCATTTATTTTGAGCGAGAGAGAAAGAGAAAGGGCATGGTAGGGGGAGGGGAAGAGGGAGAAGCAGAATCCCCGTTGAGCAGGGAGCCCAACATGGGACTCGATCCCAGAACCCAAGGTCATGAGCTGAGCCGAAGGTCGACGCTCAACTGACCACCCAGGCGCCTCTCTTTTGAAAAATTTTATTATTATTATTATTTAACTGTGGTTTTTTAAGCCAAATTGCAGCTGGGCCCCGAGCGCCCCCTACCCCATCCCAATCCCCTGAGAACTTGTGGAGGGCGGCATCTTGGGGTGGGGGTGCAGAGAGCATCCGCCTGCCCAGTGATTCAACATTCCAGAGCAGATAGCGGGGGAGGCAGGTTTTGGATGGGAGAAAGCGTTCTCACATGCGATTCTTCCTTTTATGGTTATATATAGCTTTATGGAGTTTGAATCCATTGATACACAAGAAGCTACACGTATTTAAAGTGCACAATTTACTGAGGGTTTTTTTTTTTTTTTTTAAGTAATCTCTACACCCAGAGTGGGGCTCGAACTCATGACCCTGAGATCGAATGTCACAGGCTCTGCTGACCGAGCCAGCCAGGTGCCCCGGATTCAGCGTTTTGACATCACACGTGCCTAGAAAGCCTTCGCCATTATCAAGATAACAACCCTATGTGGCTACCCAGGGGGTCTTCCCCTGTCCTCCTGGTACCCCTACCCCAGGCAACCATTGATCTTCTCTCTGTTCTCTACCTTCTGCAGAATTTCCTACAATTCTACATCCATGAAATGTGTACTCATTTTATGTCTGCTCCCTCTCCCGCAGCGTCAGGATTTTGAGACTCATTTCCATGGCCTCACTTATCAATAATGTAACCCATGTCCTGGGACGAGCCCCACCTGGCCATGACCGGCCGTCTTCTTCCGAAGGTGGTTGGACTCGATCTGCTACAATTGTAGTTGCGTGTTTGTGTCCATGTGCAGGAGGAATATTCGTCTCTCTACTTTTCTTTCTTTCTTTTTTGGGGGGGGTTAATCCCTTCGGTTTTAGTTCCAACATCATACTGGTTTCATACAAGTTGGGAAACACTCTTTTTCAGTTTTCTGGAGGAATTTTTGTAGAATAAATATTATCTCCTCCTTTGTAGAACTCACTGGTTTTCTCTGAGGGAAGATCTTTCACTGTCAATGCTATTTCCTTAATTGATAAAGACGGTGAATGGAGAGTAGGTAGATAAACAGAGGATAGAAGAAGCTATTCAGGCTCTTGATTCTTTTTTAGAGAACTTGGATGGTTCGTGTCAACGGAGGTGTTTGTGCATTTCATCTGAATTGTCTAATTTGCGGGCATAAAGTTGTTCATAATATTGCCTTACTATCTTTTTAATATTGCACACTCTTGTTCTTGAGTTTGGTAATTTGTGTCTTTTTTATCCCCCCTCCGGATCAGTCCAGTGAGAGGTTTATTCATTTCCCCAATCTTCTCAAAGAATCAACTTTTGATTTTAATGATTTTAATCTATTGTTTTTTCTGTTTCTATTTTGATGATTTCCACTTAAATCATGATTATTTCCTTTCTTCTGGGTTTAATTTGCTCTTCTTTCTTTGGTTTCTTAAAGTGGATGCTTAGGTCATCAATTTGAGATTGTTCTATTTTTTTCCAGTACAGGCGTTTAATGTTATAAGTTTCCCGCAGGTAGTTTTAATGGTATATTTGTCAGCTCCCTGTCATAACAAGATACCACAGACTGGGTGGCTTAAAAACAGAATTAATTTTCTCACAGTTCTGGAGGCTAGACAATGGAGATCGAGGTGATTTAGGGCTGATTTCTGAGGAGAGCTCTCTTCCTGGCTTGCAGGCGACCAGTGACCTGCTGGGTCCTCCCGTGACCGTTCCTCCACATGTGTGGAGAGACAGACCTGTGGCATTTCTCCCTCTTCTCAGAAGGACACCACCCTGTCAGGTTAGGGCTCCATACTTATGACCTTGTTTAACCTTGATCCCCTCCCTAAAGGCCCCATCTCCAAATACAGTCACTTTGGGGGTCAAGGCTTCAATCAATGAATTTTGGAGGAACACAATTCAGCGGGTAACGAAGGGCAACTCCCCCCCATTCCTAAACAGAATGTATTAATTTTCCTTCAGTTCAGAAAACTTTGTACTTTCCTCTTTGACATCTTCTTTGATCCACGAGAAGGATACTTAGTTTCCAATCTCCAAATAACAGGACATTTTCCAGATTGTCTTTCTGTTATTGACTTGTGATTTAATTCCACTGTAGCCAGAGAGCAGGCTCTGAATTACATGAATCCTTTAAAACTTATTGATAACTTGGCAGAGGCTTCTGGGAGCATAAAAGATGACAACAGCAGCTAAGCCAACTTTTGAACCTGCGAGAGGTGGGAGAGGAAAAGGAGAAGGTGATTTGAGCCAACTCTCAAAGCAATATTCGAGTAGAGACCTACCTTCTCATACAAAGATAAAATATAGACAAACTACTCAGGATGCCCCTGAAGAGGTTCACAACTGTGACTTCAGGAGAGAGCTGGAAGAGAGAGAGTGAGCTGCTGCAAGAGAAACAAATAGAGATCGCCCAACACGAGAACATACAACCTCCTCTTCAGTATCAAAGAAACCTCAGTTAGACCAGATTCCTGCTGTCAACCTTGATGCAGATGATCCTCTAACGGGTGAGGAAGATGAAGATGAAGACTTTGAAGAGGAGAGTGATGAGGATGATACTGCAGCTCTTCTTGCAGAAATAGAAAAAATTAAAAAAGAAAGAGCTGAAGAGCCGGCCAGGAAGGAACAAGAGCAGAAAGCTGAAGAAGAAAGAATACGTTTGGAAAACATTTTGAGTGGAAACCCTCTCCTTAATCTCACTGGCCCATCCCAGCCTCGGGCCAACTTCGAAGTTAAAAGAAGGTGGGATGATGATGTTTTCAAGAACTGTGCAAAAGGTGTAGATGATCAGAAGAAAGACAAAAGATTTGTAAATGATACGCTGCGATCTGAATTTCACAAAAAGTTCATGGGGAAATATATTAAATAGTACAGTTTTATGTGCTTAATTAAAGACTGTAAAACGTAAACGATCATTCTCACTTTTTTTTTTCTGTTTTTCTCTTTTCCCATCTAAATTGTGTATAGGCTTCCCTAATTTTAAGTTCCCTAATTTTAAGTTCTTTATTGATACCTTATTTGATGAGGATTTGGGAATTGGTTTAACCTAGTTTCCTCGGAATATCTCCAGTCATATGTTTTCCTTTTAATATGGGAAAGGGAATCTTGTAATAAATATTTTCAAAAATCGAAATAACTAAAAAAAAAACAAACAAACAACAACTTACTGATAACTTGTTTTCTGTCCAAGCATATGATTTATCTTGATGAATGTTCCATGTGCACTTGCAAAGAATGTGTGCTTTTCCGGCTGTTGGGTGAACTGTGCAGGAAGTGCCAGTCAGGTCAAATTGGTTGATAATGTTGCTCAAGTCTGATGTATTCTTGTTGATGTTCTGTCCACTTAGTCTATCAATTATTGAAAAAAAGTCTTTGAAATCTCCAACTCTAATTATGGATTTCTCTGTTTCTCCTTGCCATTCTAACAGTTTTTGCTTCTCGTATTTTCTGGTTCTGTTATTGAAGTGGGAGAGCTGGGTTCTCGTCTAATGGAGTCAAAGAATGAATCTTGAGGACAATGGAGAGTGAGTAAAGTAATAAAAATTTATTAAGTGAAGATACAGATAAAGCTCTCAAGAGTGAAAGGGGTCCTGAGAGGGTTGCCTATGAGGCCCTTTAGGGTTGGTCTTTTGTAGAAAGCTAAGCAGGGAACTTAAATCCTTTCAACATCTCTATTGCTAACACCTGCCACAGCTTACTGCCTTCTTGGTATCTGGTTATTCTTTGTTGGTCACAGGCTATTACCATAAAGACCCCCCCCCCCCGACACACACACAACCCACCCCACATGCCTAAGGTATGGTGGTCCAATTTGTCCCCTTATCTCTGGTTCTCCCACACCTCCACATTTTGGGGATTTCCATGAGCTGGATCACAAAGCCCCCTACCTATCTCTCCCTACCTAGCCCTTACTCATTATTAAGGTCAACAGTGCTTAGGATTCTTACGTCCTCTTAATGAATTAGCACCTTTATCATTACAAAATGATTTACTTCATCACTGGAAATATTTTTTTCTCTCAAATTTAGTTTGATATTAATATAGTCACTTGAGCTTTTTTTTGACCAGTGTTGGCATGGAAATGTACTTTTCCTTCCTGTTACCTTTAGTCTCTGAATTTCTCTGTATTTAAACTGCATTTCTTGCAGGCAACAAGTAGTTGGGTGTTGCTTTTTTTTTTTTAAGTTTTTTTTTAATTTATTTGACAGGCAGAGATCACAAGTAGGCAGAGAGGCAGGCAGAGAGAGAGGGGGAAGCAGGCTCTCTGCTGAGCAGAGAGCCCAATGCAGGGCTCAATCCCGGGACCCCAGGATCATGACCCGAGCCGAAGGCAGAGGCTTTAACCCATTGAGCCACCCAGGCACCCCTGGGTGTTGCATTTTAATCCAATCTGACCATCTCTGCCTTTAAATTTGGGTATTTAGACCACTTACATATAGTGTGATTATTGGTATGGTTTGGTTTAAGTCTATAATCTTGCTATGTTTTTCTTTTTTTTTTAATTTAAATTCAATTAGCCAACACATCGTACATCATGAGTTTCAGATGTAGTGTTCAACACTATCAGTTGTGTATAACACCCAGTGCTCTTGCTATGTTTTTCTATTTGTCTACCTATTCTTTGGGTTTTTTTCCTCCTCTTTTTCTGCCTTCTATTATATTAACTGAGTAACTTTTATGTTTCCATTTTAACTCCTTCAATGAATTTTTATTTATTTGTTTACTTATTTATTTATTTTTCAAGATGTCATTTATCTGAGAGAGAGTATGACTGGGGGGAGGGGCAGAGGAACAAGCGACTCGCTGCTGAGTGCAAGATCATGACCTCTGTCTACGAGGTCAGACGCTTCACAGACTGAGCCCCCAGGCACGCCTCCTTTGTTGGATTTTTAGCTATAAGCCTTTGTTATTTTAGTTTACTTAACCCTTAGTTACTTTAGGGTTTACAGTATACATATTTAACTTATCACACTTTACCTCCATGTGAAGTTATGTCATGTATATTCACATATAAGATAAGAACCTTATAATAATATACTGTCATAGCCCTCCTTGTGGACTTTATGTTGTTGTCATACATGTATTCATAGATGCATTATAAATCCCACAACACATCATTTTTTGTTTTGTTTAGATAATAAATTATTTTAAAGAATTGTAAACAGTAAGACAAAAATCTTAGCTATTAATTCATCTAGTTAACCTTTCCAGTGCTCTTCCTTCCTTTGTGTAGATCATGTTTTTACCTGAAATCATTTTCCTTCTATATAAATAACAGTTTTTAACATGTTTCATAGTGAGGATCTGCTAGTAAATTCCTTAAGCTTGTGTATGTCTGAAATTATCTTTTACTTTCATTAAGAAATTATTTTTGCTGGGCATAGACTTCTAGGTTGGCAGGTTTTTTCTTTCAGTAATTTAAAGATGTTGCTCTATTGCCTTCTTGCACACATTTGTTCTGGTGAGAAATCTGCTACCATTTTATCTTTGTCCCTCTGTGCATGATGTGTTTGTTTTCCTCCGGTTGCTTTTAAGATTTTTTCTTTATTAAAGGTTTTGTGCTATTAGCTTACAATATACCTTGATGGAGTTTTTATCCTGTTCTTTGGACTTTGAGTTTGGACTTTGGACCTAGATCTTTGGGTTTATAGTTATCATCAAATTGGCAGATTTGGGGCCATTATTTCTTTAAATTTTTCTGAACCCTTCTTTCCTCTCATTTGGGGATTCTAATTATATGTATGTTAGGCCACTCAAAGTTGCCCCACAGCTTACTGATGTTTTTTCATTAATGTATTTTTTTTCTTTGTGTTTTATTTTGGGCAGTTTCTGTTGCTATCTTTGAGTTAACTAATCTTTTTTCTTTAATGTCAATTTGCCATTAATTTCATCCAGTGTTCTTTTCATTTCATACATTTTAGTTTAGTTTTTTTTTTTTAAGATTTTTATTTATTTATTTGCCAGACAGAGATCACAAGTAGGCAGAGAGGTAGGTGGAGAGAGGGGGGAAGCAGGCTCCCCCTGAGCAGAGAGCCCGATGCGGGGCTCCATCCCAGGACCCTGGGATCATGACCGAGCCGAAGGCAGAGGCTTTAACCCACTGAGCCACCCAGGCACCCCTCAAACATTTTAGTTTTTATCTCTAACAAATTGATTTGAGTCTTTTTTATGTCTCTGTCTCTTTGTAACATTAGAACATATGAAATACAGTTTTAATAACTGTTTTAATATCTTTGTGTACTAATTCTCTTGTCGATCTCAGTTCTGAGTTGATTTTGATGGACTGAGTGGTCTCCTTCTTTTCTTTTTTGTTTTTTAAGAGAAGGAGAGAGGTGAGTGTGTGCAGAGGGAAAGGGAGAGAGAGAATCTCCAGCAGGCTCCATGCAGAGACTGAATGAGGCTCGATCTAACAATCCTGAGATCAGAACCTTCTCTGAAATCAGGAGTTGGGTTCTTCAGAGACTGAGCCACCCAGGTGCCCCAAGTATTCTCCTTCTTCTGTTTTCTGGCTTTTTTGCATGTCTGGAAATTTTTGATTGGATGCTTGATATTATCCTTTTTATTTGTTGGGTGCTAGATATTTTGTAGTTATAAATGTTCTTGAACTTTGTTTTGGAACACAGTTAAGTTTCTTAGACACAGTTTGATCCTCTCTGGGCTTGCTTTATGATATGTTAGGTGGACACATAATAGCTTCTATTCTAGGACTAATTATTTCCCACTATCGAGGCAAGGTCTTCTTGAATATTTTACCCAATGCCTTATGAGTTATGAGTTTTCCAAGATACTATTCCCAGCCCAATGTGAATAACTGGCATTGTCACCCTTAGTCCTTTCTGATGGTTCCCTCCACCCACTCTTTGGATTGTTTTCTCAGGGGCATCTGCTAATCAGTTTGCTGCTGAATGCTTGAGGGGGACTCCGCCGATCTCTGGGTTCTGTCTCTCTGCAGCTCTCTCTTCTTGGATATTCCATGCTGAGAGTTCTGGCTATATTCTTCTCCCTAGACTCTCTGCTCTGTCTTCTCAACTCGAGAAGTCTGCCAAATTCTGCTGGGTCCACCCTTCCTTGCTGTGGCTTGGAAGTCCTCTCATGAAAGTAAGATTAAGTAATTGTGGGGCTCATGTAGTTTACTCCCACATTCTCAAAGATTATTATGTTTTGTTGTCTGATACCCCATGAGTTGAGAACCTCGATTTCACATATTTGGTCCAGTTTATTTCGGTTGTTTCAGGAAGGAGAGTAAATCTAGTCTCTATTCATCTCATTTGTGAGTGAAAGTTTCTACCTTCTTTTAAAATTGAAAACACTCTTCTAATGATAAAATTAGCTCATACTCACTGTAAAAAAATCAGAAAATAACAAAAATATAAAGAAGAACATAAAATCCACTTATCTGTTTGGGTCTAATTTTTGTCACCTTTTTTTTTCTGTGCATATGTGTGCATTTGCAGGGTCACAAAGTCACTCACAATACATCAGATGTGCAAAGAAAACAGAGCTTTTTTATTTTCCTACTTCATCTGATCTTTCTTGAGAGGTACCATCTGCTGAGTAATAAGGAGGGGAGAAACAGAGAGTCCATTGTAGTGACCTTAGGCTAATACAATAATCCAAACAGTCCTTTGAGAAACTCCTAGTTCTTAGATCGAAATGCATGGTCAGTCAGATTTTTTACAGCCCCCCCCCCCAACCTCTGTTCCTCTGCTGGAGATAGTGGGGATGTATGGGGTGGGCTGTAGGATTTCTGAGTCCTCTTGGTAGCCAGAAAGAAGGGGTTCTTGGGTCCACACATGTTTTCCAGGTTCTCTCTCAGAAATTGGCTGCGGAATAGTTGGCTTAGGTCCTTCATATAGAATGGTGGCTGCTGAGGGATGATAATAATGGGAGACCAGATCATGTAGGTGTC